TTTAAAATATCATCATTTACATTCTCATCCTTTAAAATATCATCATTTACATTATCAACATTTAAAATATCATCATTTACATTCTCATCCTTTAAAATATCATCATTTACATTATCAACGTTTAAAATATCATTTACATTCTCATCCTTTAAAATATCATCATTTACATTATCAACATTTAAAATATCATCATTTACATTCTCATCCTTTAAAATATCATTTACATTCTCAAAATGTTTTATTGTAAATAAAACTCCAGGATCTCTCAGGCTGCAGATACTTCCTGTGTGGGCGGCTGTGGCTGAGTGGTTAGAGCAGTCGTCCTCCAATGCGAGAGTTGGGGGTTCGAATCCACCAGCAGTCACATGTCGAAGTGTCCCTGGGCAAGACACTGAACCCCTTGTTGCCTCAGTGTATGAATGTGTTAAAGCTCTGATTAGTCTCTTTAGAATCCATCCATCCATCCATCCATCCATTTTCTTTATCCGCTTATTCCATTTTGGGTCACCGGGGTCGCTGGTGCCCATGTCCAGCAATCACTGTGCGAGGGGCGGGGTACACCCTGGACGGGTCGCAAGTCCATCACAGGGACACATAGAGACAAACGAGACAAACAACAATTCACTCTCTCACTCACACCTAGGGACAATTTAGAGTTACCAATCAGCCTAACATGCATGTTTTTGGTCTGGGGGAGGAAACCGGAGTACCCGGAGAAAACCCACGCATGCACGGAGAGAACATGCAAACTCCACCCAGAAAGGCCCCTGGACCGGGGTTTGAACCAAGGACCTGCTCGCTGAGAGGCAGCAGCTCTACCAGTTGCGCCACCGTGCTGCCCGTCTCTTTAGAATGATTTGTTCAATTCGCTTTGTAGATCTAGTAGAGTGCTGGATGAACGGGAAAATGAGGCACAGATAGTGTAAAGTGCTTTGAGTATCTCGCTAAGATAGAAAGGTGCTATATAAGTACAGTCCATTTACCATTTATAATATGGTCAGCTTATTTGTAAAAGTAGCCAAGCAAAGTACCATACTTAATTTCTCTGTACCAGTAGGTAGAACTTGAAAAGTGTGAACTGTAAAGACAACCAGTAGTACAGGACGGGATGCTAATTGTCCATTAGAAGTTGTGGAATAAAACCAGAGGCTTTTTGGCTTTTAATGAAAGTACTGTGATTTTTTTTTTTAATTATTAATCAGCTGCTAGCATCACAAGAGTTACAGATTTTCATTGTAAGAAAGGTTGAGTCAAGTTCAAGTTAGCAAAAAATAGTTTTTAGAAAGACTTCTTTCACTCAGTAAAGAGTGTCATTTATTAACCTAATCTGTCATGTTTAAAAATAAAAGTACTTGTATAAACACTTAAATGAGTCTGAACAAGAATCAGAACTGGTTTCTAGAAGATTTGGTTGATTTAGATTCTGAGATACGAAAAGCCCAACATTATAATTATTGATTAATTGATGGTTGGTACTTTTCAGAGAAACAATGTGAAGCTTCATGATGAAACATGATGAAAGATGAACATTAGTCTTGTTTTGACAAACTGAAACGTGTGAAGTTTTTGCTTGTTTTCTTCTTATTACTTCGTGGTTTTCACGGCTTACGTAGCTACTTTTCAGCAGGATGGAAGATGATGCAGTGACCAAAGTCAAGTTCCACCTCATGCACCACATGTGATGGAAACGACAATAACGTCCCAGAGCAGATGGGTCGTGCACGAGAGCAGCTAAACATCACTCTGACTAGGATGTCACATCTTCTCTGTCATTCTTTGTTGGTTGGGTGGTTTATAATGACACGGTTTTTTTTTTTAGTTCTTCTCCAAAGCAACGGAGCGATTCGTCCATGGAGTGGACTCTTTTATAGACGCCATCTGGAAGATCTGGTCAGATCTGCTCGATGTGATGGGCATTGATTGTAAGCCTTTAAATACTTTTCATAACGTATTCAAACATATAATCATAACTGCTTCTTGTGTTTTTGTTTTGTTTATTGTTGCATCTTTTGTTCTTCGTGCAGCTTCAAACCTCAGCCACTACTTCAGCCTCGCGTCTCTCACCAACTCCCCGGCTCGCGCCCTGCTCCTCGTCGCCGCTGTCCTGTTGGCCTACTGGTTCCTATCCATGTTCCTGGGGGGCTTCTTTTATCTGCTGCACGCTGTGTTTGGCCGCTTCTTTTGGCTCGTCAGGGTCGCTCTCTTTGCCCTGTCCTGCCTCTACATCCTGCAGAAGTTCGAGGGCGACCCCGAGCGCGCGGTGCTGCCGCTGTGCTTCATCATGGCGGTGTACTTCATGACGGGGCCCGTGGGAGCGTACTGGCGTCGGGGGGGCGGGGCTGGTTCGCTGGAAGAGAAAATCGACCACCTGGACACTCAGGTCCGGCTGCTCAACATCAGGCTGAGCCGCGTCATAGACAGCCTGGAGCGCCCCGGGGAGCAGTAGACTCACAGCTGGAAGGATGAGGTTGTTTTTTTTTTGTTTTTTGTTTTTTTGTTTTTTTTGGGGGGGGGGGGGTTAAAACAATACTGTTTCCTGCACAAAATGTCAGAAACAACAGAAGATTGATATCTTTCTTTCCCATTGGCTGAAGCACCAACAAATCTTATTCTAATTAAAAAAGCGTGTTTTATGCGTGGTGGTTTTATCCTCTCAGATAATCTGTGAAGGTCTTTTTCATAAAAGCAACTCAGATCCTCTTCTTTCTTTTTTTTAAACTCCTAAAAGTGGGTAAGTGGCTGAAACTGGTACGTTGTTATAACTACTCTGTCCAACTTTAAAGGTGGTGGATAATTGTCCGCAGTAACGTTAATTGATTCAGTAAAAATGTGTCAACGGGTTAAAGAGGTTTCTTTCGCTCAGTCACACATCCATAGTCGTGTGAGAAAGTGTGTGGCTCCAGATGTGCGAGTGGTTTTCTGTGGGGGGGGGGTCGAGCTTGAAAAGGTGCTGTTTTTAAACGTCACCGTTGAGACTCGGAAACGACACAAACGGACAGAAATATCTCAGGGACTCGGCCATCACGTCGCGAACTCATGCCTGTGTCTCCGCAGTTCAGGTGTTTTGTTGTTTTTAGTCGTGCTGCAGGTAAAGTGTGATCTCACGCCTTACATCCGGACCAACTTCTCATTTATTATTTCACTACTGTGGAATTACTGTGAAGATTTGAACTACTGCTTTGAACGTTTTATTTTGGTAAGCTGAGGTTTCTTCAGATACGAAGATGGTCCATTTACAACAGTCTATCATGATTAAAACACTGAAGGCATTCTCTTCTTTCATTCCTTTAACTGAAAAATATTGTGATTTATGCTTTTAATACATATAATGCACTGTTTTATTAAGTTTATGAACCTGTTGCATACATCCTCCACTAGGTGTTTTTAACTTGACAGAGTGAAAGATGCGTGTTAGGGATGTTGATCACATGTCTCTTACAGTTCATCATAAAGGATGAATCGGTATTTATTGTCCTCTGAAACAACCAGTGTGACGTACATAAATTATTTTCCCAGTTAATTGTAATAACTGAATTAGTCCATTTCACTTTATTCTGCCTTTTTGAAACGGCTCCTGGTATTAGTTGTCAGTCAGCTCTACATATCTGAGGTGAGCTTGTGTTGTGCAGCAGATTTGTCTTGTTTTACCAAAACATTCCTGGTTTCACTTCTATCTGAAGTGGCATGAGATTTTGTTGAATGCTTCTTTCATGCCTTTACATTTATGAGGATTTTGTTGACTGCCTTTAGGGAAAACTTATATTTTTATTGTCTTGTAACAAATTAGATGGCAATTTCTCGGATTTTAAGGGTTTTTTTTTTTTTTTTTTTTGCCTGTACTGATTTCATTTGCACTAATTACTGAAGTGTCTGCAAAAAGACACAATTACCACTCACTCCAGCGCTCTGTCTGAAATCCAGGATGTGTTTCAAATATTTTCTATAGAATTGCTTCTTTTTTTTCTGAAACGAGAGCAGCTGACTCAAGAAAGAGTCTTGTCCTGATGTGTGAACGTACAGATCCTTCTGTAGCTAGTTTCTCTGTTTCAAGACGATGGGCTGCACGTGTGTGTGTTTTATCAAAGTGACTAGTAGTTGTATTGTCGAAGGAATGGGTTATGCAGATCACCGTGAAACGTTGCAATATAATATCCAGTGTTGAGTCCAATAAACATGTCGTACTGTACAGCTGCTGGTTTGGGATCTGAGATGATGTTTGTGAAGTTTTGTGTGTCGGACTCTGAAAAAAACTGTTCAGTTGGAAGAAAATTTGAATTATAAAAGGCATTCTCTGAAAGTTATAAAGATTAGAATGTTTTTATTATGATCATTATATATACTTTAACACCGGTCAATCATTTGGATTTAAAGCTACAAGCAGATGTTTGTTCAGTGTATGAAATGATCATTTACTGTATCCTGCCTCTTTTTACAACTAGCCTGATTTATTTTTTTTACAAGTGGTGCCAATAATGTAGTTTTGTTTCTTTAAGGCAATTATGTGAACCTTCTTTATCGTTTACTCATTTCACCCATGGGACTTTTTGCAAACGTATTTCAATGTTTCTGTGCCCGAGTGACGTGGCGAGAGTCGAGTTGTTCTACCTGCTGTTGTCTCCGTTGTGTTTGAGTGTTTTTAAAGACCTGCTTTTGGGGAGTTCAGGTCCAGATTTGAATAAACGCAGCTGTATAACAACGTTTCGTTTTTCTGATGTATTCATGGTTTTGGGGAGAATTTTTCCTGTTCAGACATTTTTTTTAATGTATGAACACAAGTTGGTATATTTAGCACCCAGTTTGGACCAAAGACATTTGTAATATTTTCAGTGAAACATCTGGTTGTCACCTTAATGACCACAACCAATAAAAACATTCATCTGCATTATTTAGCTTTAGTGGCTCTGACAAATCTCAAGTGATGTCTAAAAGCCCTTTTATTTATTGGATAGAAGCCTTTTCTTCTTTTTTTTACAAAACCCAAAAAGGAAATTAATTAGTTGTGTCCAGTTGTACAACATATAGCTAATGTATACAGAAACATGTAAATGTAACAAACTTTATGCTGAACACTGATCGTTTTCTTAAAAATATACAAAAGTGCAGAAAGTCAGTCTACATCTCTGCTATAATACATTTTTCTATTACAAATGAAAAGTAAATTAGTGTGTATTTTCCTAATCTAAATTAAAGTAAATTAAAAATGAAAACACGAGTGAGAGTCCATAAAATAGATCATTCAAAATCAGGAATATAAGGTTACAATCAACCTATATTCTCCGAAAAACTGCATTAATGAGGTTATTTCTGAAGCGTTCTACAATATTTTGCTTTACTGGCAGGTATCAAACACTCGTCTTCCTGCTGTGGTTTGTTGCTTCATTTAGTTTAAGCTGACTGGGATGACATGAAACATTAAAGTTACTCTTTAAGTCTTTCAACTCTTGTCCATTTTCAGTATCTTCATAAACTACAGTGGATTTCTGACAATCATTTGTCATAAAGTAAGCAGCTGCAGTGACTTTCACACCTAATTTTGCCTTTCCATATTCATTTTAACAAACATGCAACATCTGTCAACATGAAACATCTTGGATTAGACGGATTCAAAAACAAGCTGCTTCAAAACAGAATAAAAACAATGCAGCCTGATGATGAGACATTCAAGAGCCTCAATCAAAATGATAAGTATATGCAGTATTTTTGATTTGCTAATTTCATAACTTGTAAAAGAGGAAGAAAAAAAACACCAGTTTAACTTATACAAAACACTGAATTTAATATTCTTACACCTGAGAAAGATAATTAAGCTCCGTTTTGGTACCAGAGTTTAAATTTGCTGCGTGTATTCCTGTTCCTTCAATTAAATAACACAATATTGATTAGCTAATGGACACCGAGTGAATCAGGACATTAAAGTCCAAGTAGTGTTACAAAGGTTCTGTTTCATTTTGTGGCAGTAACAGTTAAAGCAGAGCTTGTCCTCCCACTTCATGATCGCCAAGTCGCCTGTTGTCAGCTACTATCAAATACTAAACGTCTTCTAAATGCTTCATGTGACCCTGTATTCACACAGACGTTTGACAAAAGCTTTACAGCACAAAGCAAAAAGCTGTGGGTTTGGTTCACAATGATAAGTTTATAATAAATCCCAGTTTTAGGTCTAAAAATAAAACTGGATCACTTAACAGGCAACACAGCAGCTTCAGAGCAACAAGAGCTTCAAAAGCTCCAGAGTCACAGGGTGTGAGTTAAAGGTCCAAACACTTAAATCATCCAGGTCCATTTTCTGATTTGAATCTTTCCATAATAAACCTTGCTCTTTAATGGGACATGTCAATCCAGCTCGGTTTTATTTTTACCCAAAGTAACTTAGTCCAGATGAGAGGCATCGATTGGTGTCTTCTGGACAAAAAGGTGCGTCGTCCTCACATCATGCTCCGGTTGCTGCCACAACTCTTCTGACATTCCTCTGTTTGGCAAAGTCAAAGAGCCAACAACGCAGGTCACTTTCACAACTCACCAGGTTCATCTTCAGCGTCGTCAAAAACGCGCCACAACTCTAATGTCCAGGTCTCCTGAAGCGGCACCAGAACCCTGAGCCGGGTGGGAACCCTGGTCCAGTCGGATGTGATGAAGACCAGAGCTGAAGCTGGCACACAGCAAATTGGTGGAATCACTGGGAGCCAGAGAAACCAGTGGCCCAGCACCGTCTAAAGACAGCGTCCCTAAACAGACTGAAATGATTACAGAAGACAAGTTAGAGAAAAAATATGTATGAAAAATAATCACCACACATCAAATGGCACGTTTTATGCCAGAGTTTTAGAGAAAATCATTTTATGTAGAAAAATCGTGGCGTTGTAACCATTCATAGAGAGTCATAAGATGTTTTGCTGACAGTACTAAGAACCAAACACCAACAAAAACAGCATCGCTCCATTCTCACGTTCAGGCGACAAATATCTCTGAGGGCGCGTTTGTTTTATCCGTGACTTGGTGGTGTTACCTGCTGTGTTCTGATCCCAGATTTTCACCGAGCTGTCATGAGAGGACGTTGCTACCTGGGCTGTGGCACCAGGAGCCGTGGGCAGAAACATAGAGCAGGCTGTGGTCTGAACATGACCTCTGTACTCCACAACTTTACAGCCAGGTAGGCGCAGGTCCCACAGCTGACGACACAGAAACATCGCTACTCAGAACAGTGGTAACGGTGTCAAATGCTTCAGGATCGTCCGCACAAACGGTGGACAACGCTTCGTCACATTGGTCACGTATCGTCCACCGTCTATCTAAAACACACAAACACCTCCCGTGGTCTCACCGTGGCTTCACTGCCCTGGCCTCCGAAGCCGTTGCTGCTGGACACCAAGTAGTTACCATTTGGAGAAACGTCACAGTGGGTCTGGATGTACTGCTTCGCCGGAAATGTATTGGTCACCTGCCACGTACGACTGTCCCACACCCTGCACACAGTAACACACATACAGTATATTATTCTTAGTAACATAATGCAGTAAATTATCTTCACGTTGCATTGATGGCTTTTTTTTTTCCATCAGATACCAGGTTGAACAGAGCCGTCATTGTGCAGATAAAGTTTTAAAGTTAATACTTTAACTAAATGGTTCCCAACCCTGGTCCTTGAGGAACACCACACTGCTTGTTTTAGTTGTTCCTGTGCTCCAACACATCTAATTTGAATGAAAGGTTGATTAACAGGCTTCTGCCAAACTTAAGGAAGTAATTAAACCACTGAATCAGGTGTGATGGAGCAGAGAAACAACTAAAACATGCAGGACGGTGTTCCTCAAGGACCAGGGTTGGGAACCATTGCGATTTATTTACGGCGAGAAGACCAACCCAATACAATCTAGTGAATGCACCCATTTTTATATCAAAAAAGGTGATTATTGTTTGCTTAGATGATAGCTATGAGAGTTCTTTATATTGCCATACATTCCATACACCTTGTGTTTGAATACAAGATGTATGATTCTCATTAGTAGATTATGATCCATCTTTTTACTTAAAAGAAATACTGTGTGTTCAGGTCCTGTCCCAAGACTTAAAACTTGTTTTTTCTAGTTTTCTGATTGATTACAGGGTAGATGAAGTTTATTTGGCCTTTTTAAAAAAAAACAGCAGTAACACATTTCAATAGGTTGATGTTCAAGTTATTTTCCTGTCTATATGCAGTCAAAATAGTGGAAGTCTAGTTCACGAGTCTTGGTGGGAAAAAGAAACTTCTGCAGAGTAAAAAGTAGGTGAAGCACTTTGGCTTCCAGTTCACACAAGCCAGTCAAATGAGACTTGAACTCATCCTTTTAGTTAAAGCATATGAGGCCAAGATGGGGTAAATGGACTGTACTTATATAGTGCCTTTCTATCTTATTTCAAGATACTCAAAGTGCTTTACACTACAATCTGTGTCCTCACTAGATCTCTACAAAGCTAATTGAACAAATCATTCTAATGAGACTAATCAGTGCTTTTTAGATCACATTCATACACTGATGGGACACACATCAGAGGCTATGAGGGGTTCAGTGTCTTGCCCAGGGACACTTCGACATGTGACTGCTGGTGGATTTGAACCCCCAGCTCTCGCATTGGAGGACGACTGCTCTAACCACTCAGCCACAGCCACCCATAGGGTAGAGGCAGGGCAGCTGACTCCCAGCCATTCCCACATGTCGTGTTGTCTCTGAGCAAGACACCCAATCCCCAATTGCTCCCCGGGCACCTGCCCACTGCTCCACCTGCGTGTATCCCAGGTGTCATGGGTTAAAAGCATAGAACTAATTTCACCATTGTACGGGAAACATACAATGATGACAATCTCAGACTTCCCTTCTTTGACTGATTACACTCAGACTGTTAACTAAAATCCTTTTCTGTCAGATGACGAAGAATCTGCAGTTTACTGCTGCTGCCTCCTCTTTTCCAGCAACTTGCCTAACTAGGACCACATTGCATTTTGTTTGTAACAGCACCACAACCTTAAGATGCTTATGGCAATTACTAATTTTCCAGTAAAGTCAAAAACTAAACTAAATGCATCGTTTTACTACGTGGAAATATTAATATCGAACATCGATATCAGCAGTAAGAACTGACTTTCTGTACCTTATGGTTTTGTCCTCTGAGGTTTGGACTATAGAGGAACTGGCTGGCACCCAACAAACATGAGTCACCTGAGTCACAAACACACAAGTGAACAATTCAAACCAATTCAAACACAAAATGGACAAGCTGGATTTAATAGCATGAACTGATTTCTCTCACCAGGTTTCTAGAGACGTTGTGTCTCTGTTCACATTTTGCAGATTCTATATCCCACAGGCACATCCAGTTATCACGGGAGCCGGTGCAAAGCTTTCTCCCATCTATAAACCAATATTTTAAAAACTATGAAACATTTGCCTCATTTTATTATTCTGTAACAGATTATCTTCATGAAAGACATCACATTTAGTCCAACACCTATAAATCAGTTCCAAATAGCATGTTATTTGTTTGTAAGTGGAAAAATGCCGAAATAATAACCATTAAGCTACACTGGGAGCAAATATTAATCACTACTTATTGTTATTTATATTTACTTGCATGAGATGATCAGTTTGGACATATTATTTTTGTAAAATCACATCTCAAGTTACAGTAGATCTATAGCCGTGATGAAAACCATCTGCACCTAATATCTTGGTTTATTATTGCACAGAGTGGCTGTAAGGAGGTTATTTAACTAAGTGTAAATTTGATTTTGAGCACTGCAGAAGGCAAAAATGGCCATGTTATGTTTTAAAGTGCTTTTATCCAAAATCCAACATCTAAGCCACAGTACAAAGAATTAAAATGATGTGTAGCTATAAATAAATGTTTTTTTTTTGTAATGCAGCGCTACAGACAGGGATAAATATGATGCTACATGCACAGATATAAAAGTATATGTTTGTAGCTCTTTGAGTCTTACAAAGCTAAAAAAAAAAAAATACAGATGAAAAAACAACTACCAGAAAAAACAAGTTAAATATTTACTAATCGCTGAGTAGACTCTTTGTGAGAGAGTGTTTTAGTGTGCGCACCAGGGCTGATAGCTAGTCCATTGACCACCAATTCATGTCCGCAAAACTCCTGAATGGGTTCATCTCCCTGGTTCAGGTCCCACATCAGAACGGACTTGTCCCGAGAGGCACTGAAGATCCATGTGCTGCCAGGATAACAAATCACCTGGTGGATAAACAGAGGCAGGCTTCAGGGGAGGAAAGACCAGCGAGAAATGTGTAACGCCTTTATCAGTGCACACAGTATTGACTTTACCTTGGTAACCTCTCTGTTGTGACCCAGGAAGGACTGACACATCTGGCCTTGTTTCCAATCATACACCACTACAGCCTACAGGGTGGACGATACAAGATGCTAACCTGTGAGCTTCGACTGTTTCCAAAACGCTGTACACAATTTAACTTGTGACTTGCAAACTTTTTGAAACGATCAGACAAGAATGGTGGGATAAATAATATTCATTAACGTGGGTTAATTTTGGATTTATGAATCAATTACTTAATATTCATGAATATTTACCTGGTCACTCCCACCAGAAACACACAGATCTGGGCTGAGGTTGGTCACAGTGTTGATGGAGCCCTGATGGGCAGGTTCATACTGTAGCACCTGGCTGTCCAAAGGACTATCAGCCTTCTCACCCTGAGACGCTCTGCACAAAACAGCCAAACGGGACAAATCATTTCAAATTCTAAATCAAATCGCTGTCTTATTTTACATGTTTTGATTTTAGCTGGAAATAAATGATTTAAATTTTGAAATAGTTTCTCCGAAACATTCATCGATTGTCTTCATTCATAAGCTGCATTTGTATATTTTAAGAATAAGATGAATAAAATCCCACAAGAAGCAGATCATTACAAAATAATTCAGTTCAAAGTTCTGTTAATCTCAGAAGCTAGTCTGAGGGCGGCTGTGGCTGAGTGGTTAGAGCAGTCGTCCTCCAATGCAAGAGTTGGGGGTTCGAATCCACCAGCAGTCACATGCCGAAGTGTCCCTGAGCAAGACACTGAACCCCTCATTTCCTCCAATGTGTGTCCCATTGGTGTATGAATGTGATAAAGCTCTGATTAGTCTCTTTAGAATGATTTGTTCAATTAACTTTGTAGAGATCTAGTAGAGTGCTGTATGAATGGGTAAATGAGGCACAGACTGTAGTGTAAAGTGCTTTGAGTATCTTGATCAGATAGAAAGGTGCTATATAAGTACAGTCCATTTACCATTTAGTCTGGAAGCTGCAAGCCAACATCTTTCATACAGCTTTGTTGTCGTCATTTTTTTTTTTTAGACTTTATGTAAATCTGGGCCAGAACACAAAATACTGTTATATGTCAAACAAAGTAATTGTTGCTTTGAGTACAAGTCTTCTCACCAATAAAATTTGACATTTCACACACACACATGTTTATATGTCTATCCTTTTTCGGGCATTGCATTGATTTCCATTCATTTCTGTAGCCTTCCCCTGACCTTTAAACCTAATCTAAAAATGATTTTCCACTGTATTCAGGACTGGGCTTCGGAAGTATAAGTTCTGAAAACACATTTCATGCGTTGGAGCCTTTTAGGTCACAGCTCGGTTTTTAAATGGGTTAACAAATCTAAGCAAGTCTCAACTCACTAGAAGCAAAGAATAATTAAAGACCTAGCAAGCCTTAAAGGAACTGATATTGCCTGCTGCCTTTCATGGCTGTTTTAAATTGGGATCATCTTACGTTGAGAAATGATGGAGTTGTAGCCATTTTGAAAAACAATGAGCATTCAAACTTGTTTTTATACCTATAAAAGTTGTGAGATTTAGTCCAAATAGTGAAACAAACACATCACTGTTCTGGCTTACCTGTAGAGCTCAGACCTCTTACGAAACTTGCTCTGAAGTTTGCCCATGTCTGCCTATAGTAATCTGCAGCCACACTGGTGAAACAGACACATAACCATGAAACTGGGACAAATGCAACAATGCTTGCATCATATCTACATGTAATTCACTAAAAGATGAACGTGGAGATGAATGTTTGTAATGTTTACTGGCCTATAAAAACAATTTTGTTTATTGCAGAAGCCCACATAAATCACGGCTGTATGGGGCGCCGTGTTCATTACATCACCACAGTGAGATTAAACCATTAGCACTGTCGCAGTTAAGCTCCGCCCTCCTCGTTATTCCGGCGAACTCTTCCACCGAGACAGGAAGGAGAGCGCTCAAATCCTATTAGCGCCGCATCATTACAAGGACTTAGTCACTCGATAACACCTTGTTATGAACTGTGCTGGTATCATTATGCAACGAAAGAAACTCATAAAGAGGTGAAAAAGTGTTTTAAAAACCTTCATTTGACATGTTCTTCGGAGATACGGAGCAACATGCTTTACCTGTCACCGGGAGGTGTGGTCGCCGGGTGATGCTGAGCCTCAGCCTGGATCAGCGGCTCGCGCTCATGCTAAGATCAGTAAATTAGTGGCAATAAAACGTAAAAAGTTCGTAAAGTCGTTGATGAGACGACAGCGTTTTGTTTCCCACGGATAGCCATGATAGTCTGACACCTTAGTTGCGCGGGAAAGCGCAAAGAAGAGTCTTTTAAGGCGCTTCACAACCACCGTCTGCCCGTAGCGACCGAGAAGCGACGCTTTCCTCGTATCCAGGCGAGGGCGGAGTCACGTGGTAGGAGGAAGGAAGTGATCCCAGAGGCGTTTTTTCTTACAAAATAAGAGTATATATATCCAAACTTGGATACTTCAATTCAATTCAAAGTTAATTTATATAGCACATTTAAAAACAACCACAGCTGACCAAAGTGCTTCACAAGAATTACAACATCGTAGATAAAAATTTGATAAAATAAATAAAATCCAGTTTTAAAAATAAAAGTATGATCAAATTTGCAGTAAAATACCAATAAAATAATACTAATAAAAACTAAGATATACTTTCATTATGTTAACAAATATTGGCTCCATAGAAATACATTAACAACTAGTTTAGCTAAGAATTCGTTTTTAGGTATCATTTTGCTATTTAGCTACTGTTCTGAAACTTTTTTTGTTATTGTTCTGCTACTTTAAGCTTAAAGCAAACCTTTTCTTTTTTTTCTTTTTAGCTACTGGTCTGCTAACTTTAGGCATACCATTTTACTACTTTTTATTATGCTTTTGATCAATTAATCTAACCTTTTGCTACTTTTAGCTAATATAGCTAGCCTTTAATGTTTTAGTTAATCTTTTACTACTTTTTGGTTTTCATATAGCTACATTTAGATATATTTTTTTATTTTTTTGAGCATTCAGCTGACCTTTTACTATCTTTATATAGTGTTTTGCTGCCTTTTTTTTATTAGCTACTTTTTCCACTTTTAGTTTACCTTTTGCTACATTAAACTAGCCCTTGTTGTAGATAGTGTTCTGCTTGTTTTAGCTTTAAAACCCCAGTTTCAGCTTTTCTAAGCAAATTTCAGCTAAATCAATCAGCGTTCAGCATTCATGCTGCTTTTTACAAATAATGCAATTTCTCTAGTTAACCATTATTTCATAACCGAGTATGAAACTCACCTGTACAGATGAGTACATTCAAATTGGAACTTGTCTATTTGTTTTACTGACTAAATATGCTCTTTGTGCTTCTGTACCCATACATTTATCACGTGAAACAAAAAAGTTTTATATTCATGGCCAGAAAAGAAAATAATTATTGAGACTGCACATCAAACTGCAAAAAAGTTTGGTCATATTCGAATGCATTTTAATGACGCGTACAGTATTATCCTATCATTTTACAACTTATTGAAGGATTTCTATAAGCAGAATCACTTTATTGAGTTTAATTATGCAGAATAACACATACGGGTTAAAATGTTACTGACCTGTGGCTCACCGTCCCTTTGGAGAGCTTGACCTTCATTACAAGCACAGGCTGAAAGAATCCCTCAGCTGCAAAGCTGTAGCAAAACTTAAACAGATCCATGAACAGCTAGCATCATTTCTAGTGGAAGCCTTTTTTTTTTTCTTTTTAGGCCATGTCTTTAAATTCATCAGTATTTTTTTTTTCCTTTACATTGCAGTCATTGTGAGTGCAGATGACAATGGCATGAGCTAGATTCAAACAAATTCATTACACGCAGTTAAGCAGGTCCCAATTTTGATGGTTAAAATGGGCCATAGTTGTAGGTCACAATCAAGTCGGCTCAGTACCGTCATGAGATGACCTCAATTTTGCCTTTTTGTTTGCATCAAAGTGTCTATGTAACTATTTTCCAATGTTAAATCATTTTAAAATATGAGTGTGCTTCACCTTATATTTTATGCTACAGTTTGAATTACACAACTCTATACATTGTCATTTTAACTCATTGTGGACAATTCATGTGTCTTCATGCTGTTATATAATCTCTAACATAATGTTTGGTCCTACATGTGTCAGTCTGCTTACATGATGACCACTTAAGTGTTTTTCTGGTCAAGGTGTATCCTCTTTAAATCATAAAATATTTGCAGCATACGTTTTTTTATTGCTGTGATTTTCTTTAAAAGAATCAAAGAACAATGCCTAAATGGTGTTTACAGTTGAGACAGTGAAACATGATATAGCAAGAAACAAAGATGGAATGGTTTCCACATGTTATAAACAAGAAGAGACAAAACTAGATCTCTATCACAGTTTGACTTCAGACCAGAGTCATTATTCTACACTGTCTGCACAAATGTTTACTGTAGACACAAGATTGGCCTTGATTTCCAAACAAAGTTCAAAACTGTCAAAGAAATGGATTTGTTAATTTGTTGTTGTGGTGTTGTGCTTAGATATACAATTCAAAATGTTTAAACCAACCTTATTATTTTGCTTCCAAGCATCCAGGCTTTCTTGTAATCTTTAAAAGTGGTCTTGATTAGGAGTTCTCCAGATGTTCTGTTGGTCTTTCAATCTGTTTCTTTGCATTTTGCACCTTGTTGATGCTGCAATGCTATTTAATGTGTCAAACTCTGTTATTGTTGGTATTTGTTTGAGATTTAGGAAATAAAAGAAGAACAAAGTGCCTAAAGATCCAATAACAGAATGTCTCCTCATTACAATGTCAGGTAAGTGTAGACAAAACACTCGTTCATCCATTGAGTTCAGGAGACTTTTTTTCTGCACAAAGCGTTTATAGGTCAAACTTAGATGGACTGACAAACAAAAGCTCTGAAACACACGTTACTTAAATATAAAGCGCAATTATTGTCAGGGCAGGCGGGCCCTCCGGACCGTCCGTTCTCTTACCATTGTCCTGGACAGGAGGCTGAGTGTGAGCGGACGCTACATCCTCTCTGCTATGCAGCTGTTGGCAGTGTTGAAATGTTTCCACCATCACACCAATAAACATGTTCAATAGGAATAAACCCAACACCATGAAGGACAGGAAGTAAGCCAGCATCCACAGATTGTAGTTCTTCACAGGCTGAAAAGTGAACAGGAAAAAGTTAAAGACTAAACTTATCACACCGTTCAACATTTTTCAATCAGGTCATCTGAACAGTTTCTTTTTTTTGTGCTGAAACGTTTCGCCTTCGGTCCGGAAGGCTTCATCAGTCAAGGAAACGCACAACAAAGCTGATTCTTCCCCCAACAGCTCACTCCAAAGTGGAACAAACCAGTTCTGCTTGTGATAAGATGGTCTCTTTGGTACGCCCCCTCCTCCATTGCCGGCCCTCTTCCTTGTTGACAGTCTTGTCAAACTGGTTGAAAACAACAAAGTCCATGCTCAATAATCCAGGTATAAAATCCAACATTTTTCAGTCAGGTCATCTGGACTGTTTCTTTTTTTTTTTTTTTTTGCTGAAGCGTTTCACCTACCTGGGAGATGCTATATATATATGTATTTATTATACACACACACACACATATATATATATAAACTAAAAAGTACAGTAGCCTACCAGGAAGCCATGGATCGCTATCTTCATCTTCCTCCTGCAAAAGCTTGGCTGGGGGGGTGGGAATCCCCTCCTCATTCTCCCTTCCCCATTTCATTGGTCCACTGTGATTTGTTCGGTAATTTCATTGGTCATGTTTTTTTTTAAACTTTATTTATACAGGTAGTCTCATTGGTGGACGGATCGGACGGCATCTGCAGCCAGTTTCTTATGATCCACTGTGGGATGGACCTTTACAAGAGATCCTTCCTGCCTACAGCAATCAGTATCTAGAACATCTCTTAATGAAATGAGGATAACGAGTTACAACAACAAATACTTTCCCTTTAGGATTAATAAAGTACAAACCAGATTCCAAAAAAAGTTGTGACACTAAACTAATTGTGAATAAAAACTGAATGCAATGATGTGGAGATGGCAAATGTGTATATTTTATTCGTAATATAACATAGATGACAGATCAAAAGATTCATCTGAGTAAATGTAACATTTTAAAGGAAAAATATGTTGATTCAAAATTTCACAGTGTCAACAAATCCCAAAAAGTTGGGACAAGTAGCAATAAGTGGCTGGAAAAAGGAAATTGAGCATATAACTAACAGCTGGAAGACCAATTAACACTAATTAGGTCAATTGACAACATGATTGGGTATAAAAAGAGCTTCTCAGAGTGTCAGTGTCTCTCAGAAGCCAATATGGTAAGAGGATCACCATTTTCACCATTGTTGCACAGAAAGATAATGCAGCAATACCAGAATGGTGTTACCCAGTGTAAAATAGCAAAGACTTTTAAGTTATCATCATCAACCGTGCATAACATCATCAAAAGATTCAGAGAATCTGGAAAAATCGCTGTGCGTAAGGGTCAAGGCTGTAAAACTCTACTGGATGCTCGTGATCTCCGGGCCCTTAAACGTCACTGCACCTCAAACAAGAATGCCACTGTCAAGGTAATAACAGAATGGACTCAGGAATACTTCCAG